TTTTTTTTTTTTTTTTTTTTTTTTTTGAGGGTTTTGCATCTGTTTTCATTACACTTTGTTTATAATTAGTTCTACTATTTCCTCTTCCTTAGGTTTTTGCGTTTTGACAGAGCAGATGAGTACATTAGGCAAATTTCTGCGAAGCAGCTACAAATCCCCTCAACAACAGCTATAGGAAAACCGAGCAGAAGGGAAAGCCCGAAGCAGCCTCATTTAGACATTTAGCAATTTCAACAGCCTCGTTCCCGGAGCGGCGGCCCCGCGGGTGACGCAGCGCGGCCCAGTGCAGGCCCGAGGCCTGGGCGCCCAGGGCTCGCTGCCCGCGAGGCTGTCTCGCTGCTGCCATCTCCTGGGTCGGCTCCTCATAACACAGCCCCCCAGTTTACTTCGGGACAAGCTGCCACCTCCTAACGGTTTCTTAGCACGTATCAGCCTGAACCCCTCTTAAGGACAAGGCAAAATGCGAGCAGGAAACTCGAACTTATGCAATGTTAATACGTGGACGTTCTGCCAGGCAAGGGGACGGTCTCTATTCAAACACTGGCAGCCAACACCAAAATCATTTTCTCAGAAGGGTAAATGGGAGCCTTGCAGACATCTACTTCCCTCCACGCCACACACCTTCACTTRCGTGGCTCTATGCACATCACACATTTACTCTCTGGTCTATGGTGGCTGTTCCAGTGACTCCTGTCCCCACCTGGAGCCACTGGCACACGGCTGAAGAGCCACACACAGGCGGGATTACATTCCTCTATAGCCAAAGGAGAGAACCAATTTGACATATCCCAGAAACCTAGGGCTGCTTTTTATATTTATCATCAGCTGCCCATCGTGCAGCTTACAGACCTTGTCAGAACACAAGATATTTTTTGACCAGCAGCCTAGTTCTGTGTGTGTGAAAACCAGGACATGTGCAACCACATCCTTCCCTGACACTTAGTCAGAAGCAGCTGGGGTTCATCCCCTAGCCTGGAAAGTTGGAAGCCCTTCTGGGTCACTCCAGACAGAGCCCTAGGCAGCTATCATTAGCAGAGCAATTTGCCTTCTTAACATAGTATCAGCCCCGTGGAGTGGGGAGCCCTACAGAAGGAACCTCAACGACGAGCTCAGAGTATGTACTTAAATTTCAGCGAGATACATTTTACCTCTAATTACGCTCATCATCCCTCCTAGGGGGCTTTTCCATTTCTCTTCTCGATGCCAGCTGAAGAACCCAACGTTACACAATCCYGATACATCATTGTTCCAGAACAAAGCCGTACTTGCCTCATGCACAGCTAGGGACACAGAATGACATTTCATTGTTTTGACCATGGCAGCATACACACATTGTAACACTCGGCTGTGACTCAGTACAACATCTCTTCCATTCATTGTTCCTGGGCACTGTGGGGAAGTGCACTATTATTCTTTCTCTTCTTTTCTGCACCCCTCTTCCCAGCTGCATTGCTCATGGGGAAGGTGCATTTAAGGTCACCCTGGATAAATCTTCTACAAGACTAAAGTGCTACAGCAGCATTTGTGAAATACAGCAATTGCCTCTGAATCTGGTCTCCTAGCATGATTTTGCTGTTCTCAGTACCACTGTTTTTCTACATTCAAGTACAACACTAGCTTACAAGCACTGTACAGGTTTTACTTCAAGCACAAGCCATCCACCAGGAGGCAAATTAGCCATATATTTGTTTGAAATTAACAGACTCATTAGTTGCATGGTAGCAGTAAACAAGTTTATGTGGAAAATGGAATGCCAAAAACAGGAGACAGTCTGTATTAGTTACTTTAACAAAAGGAAGAATTACACTCTGAGGAAGTAATCTGTAGTCAGGGTTCTGTACAATTCCCAGAAAAAAAAAATGACATTCAAATAGCAGAGGGCTTCTCTCCAACACCCAAAGCAAAAGAAAATTCAACCTTGAACTTGCTGAGCTCTGCCTAGATAATAAGGCCCACATGGTTTGGAGGCTGCCTATGTGCCTGCACGCAAGGAGCAGCTGCTGCCCTGCAGAGCAGCTCTCGCTCACGGGTTCCACTGAGGGAAAGGACACAAGATAAGCAGCCCATTTTAAACATGCTCCTGCCTAAAATCATGTACTTCACTAGGGCTTAATTAATCCCAATAAAAACTGCTATCATTAAGTATTATAGAAATTACAGACACCACTGAGGAAGAGACACCACTGAGGAAGAGACACCTTGCCTATTTTTCAGGTTTTATTTTGTGCAGAAAATGATGCCTGTAGATTTCACTGCAGACACAATGAAATGGATGAAATGGCTGAGGCCCAAGTGTTGTCGGATGAAAAAATTTATAAGCTATAGCAAATCATTTTATTTCTCCTTACCTCTTTCATTTGCCATCCTTTATATCTTGATTAAATTGATAATAACAATTAGATAAAAATTTCATTAGTAAAAATGTCCTAGACAGCATACAAACACTATAATAGCACAGAGTGATGACATGAAGACATGATCTTTCTTTGGTGGGCAGCCAACTGTTTTCAGTGGAAGYCTGTGCATAGCGAGTCAGTCTTTTTCCTCTTTAGGTAGGTTTCATAACAGTAACAAAACTGTCTTAGAAGTATAAACATGAATATAAACTGAAAGAAGTAAACCAGATTTCACTGTGCTTTGAATGTCCTATACATCTTGATGACTTTGAATCCTAACCTATCTGAAGTCAAACTACTAAATCCAATTATTCTTAAAAGTTGCCTCTGTAAAAGAAGCTGGCTTTTTTTCTTCCAGCAGCATCACTGAATTACACAGTTACAAAAGCTCCTTCAAAATGAATCATGTCTAGACATTGCTAAGATGTAGTTAAGGGTTTGCGTGTTAATGCTAATGCAAGTTTGTTGCTGGCAAAGTCTTAGATCTAACTTTGAATCAAGGTTTGTCCATATTTTTTTAATGTGATGGGCTTGTAATATCAGTTGCATGGTAAAAATACTTCTGTGAGACACAGCTACCAGAAACCACCAATAAAAAAATAATAACTCTGGGGTATAGTTTATATTTTCTCATCTGTCTATATCAAAATGTTTAATCTATTTCAAGTAGCTTTCATGTTACAACAATGTCAAAATAGCATAAGGCTTGCAAACTGATTCTGTGTTCATATAAAATTAAACACAGCATGTTTTTAAGGRAAAAAAAAAAAATTGTCCTGTTATGACCCAGGCAGACCGTGAACACAGATTAGCAACATAAAGGCTTTAAAGCACTATACAACACAGAGGAAACAAAACACTCRCAACCAAGAATTTTAGAGAAGATTGTTTTTAAAAATGACTCCAGATGAAAAAGTACAAAGAGATTATTTCAAAGGAAAATCAAGACCACTTAAAAAACCCTAATTACTAGTCATTCATTTAATTCAGTCCTAATTAAATTGTTCAGATTGAATCATCTATTACCACTGCCTGAAAACATATAGATTCTCCATGAAAACAACTCAAAGCTAAACCAGCATGCTCATTAGAACAGTAAGACTTTATTTTTAAAAGAGTACAGTTATTTTTCTGAATTTGCCCAAAAGCATTCCTTGTTTTCTTTCCAAGAATATTCGTCCTCATAAATCTCCTGCAAATATAAACAAAGAATGGGAAATACTGTGAGAGTCTGCTACATACATAGCCGCAAGCCAGGCCAAACAACTCAACAGCCACCCGGTTATTATTTACTGATCACATCGGGAATACACAGCACTTGGCTGGCAAACAGAAAGCAGAGAGGGCAGCATCCTCAGAACAGATGRCTTTCCATGTGGGCAGCCCCTTGGGCTGAACGCAGCCTCAACCCCAGGAATATCAGCAGGGCCCACCTATGTTAAAGCACTTTGGGAAAGATCCAGAAGAGAGGATGCAAAAGTCAGGCAGCATAGAGTATTAGGTCTGAAACTAGCATTTTACCTGATGCTGTTTTACTCTACCATCACTTGCTGGAATAAGAACATTTATACATACATAAAATGTTKATGTTAAAAAAAGATGACATCAAAATACACTACGTATGACACATCTGGGACAGATTAGTTACCACCCAGCAGTTCCTAGCTCTAAATTCAGCAGGGCTTTGACCCCCAGATTTTTCTTTCTGAGACCACAGACCCCTTTCTCCTGAAGCAGGCATCAGAAAAGCAGAGATACATAAGAAAACGTTTTGCACTAAGCAGTAGCTCAGAGAACATCCCTGATACCATGTGCCAGGCTGTCCCTAGGAGAGAAGGCAGAGGTAATGCTCGCTCCTTGCACGCAACGCTGTCATTATGCAATAAGGCTCCTTCCCAACCCAGGCTGGTCTCTCCACATGCTGCTGTGTGCCCATCCTAGCTTTGGGACTTCTGCACTTTCCTGCCCTGCAGGCTGCTGCTGCTGTGCTTATGTGCACTCTTGCCTAACGCTCTCTGCTTACTCAAGGTCACAGGAATGAGGGGAAAAGGGAAAAACCAGAAAAGAAACCTGCAACCTGCAGCATCTTTCAAAGTAAAAGCTCACTCAAGGCTTCTTCAGAAGCCTGAGCAAAACTGAACTTTGCCACCCAAGGTAGGAGAGGTTGGGGCTTCATGATTCCCATCACAGGAAAGAGTTCAAAATAAGAGGAGTTGGGACAACTTCGTAGCATTAAGCACTTAGAGGAACAACCGCCGGTGGTAGGAAGGAGGTGTCCTCTCAGCATCATGGTTCAGCTCCTTCTCAAAGGGCTAAAGCTGCCTCCAGCCCCACTGTTTAAGACTCTGGCATAGGYCTTGAACCAAACTTAACCCAAATGTACCTTTTTCCATATTGGGACGGACGCTTTTAAGGTGTTGATGCAGTACCTCACAGCTTCAAGAGATTCTGCTCTGTGTGGAGAGGAGACGGCAATAATTACACTTGCTTCAGTTATTGGAACCAAGCTAAGGAGAGAAAGAAACAACACCACTTTTAGCTAATGCTTACCATCAAGAGCAACCAAAAGCTGTGGCCATGTCACGTCAGTACTCTGGCCATGCACCCTCCTGACTCACTCATACTGAGCAAGTGTCAGGCCATGTCCAAAAGATTATACACTTTCAAAAGGAAAGAAAACCACAACCAAAATTAGTAGCAGATGGGAGAATTCCATGCTTTAGAATAAATAATCCCACCAGCCATAGCCTTTTTTTTTTCTTTTCTTTCTTCCTCTCTTACAAAGTCTATGGAATTGGAGGGAAAAAATGCTAACTTATAACAATGCATAGGATGATCACTGAAAACTAGCTGATTAAAAGCAACAGGGCAGAAATGGCCATTTCTTACCAGAAAGCCTGAGAAACCATCTCATTTTGGAAATAAAATAAAAACAAAATAAAAATCTCACACAAAAGGATTTTAAAATTTAATTTTTGACAAATTCTCCTTTCAYAGTATGTAGTTTTTCATTTGGTGTGCTATATGGACCACATTCAGTTATGACAGGTAACGTAGGGTTTTGTCTAATTCCTCACAGGGGCAACATTCCCCAAAGCTGTTTTCCAAATCTCCCTCTATAGTAAGATTGCTCTGGCAAACAGCTCAGAGTGAAAATTTAAATCTCAATGCTTTGAGCTACCCTTGATAGAAATCACTCTCTGTTGACTGTAGAGGAAGTCTAAGGAAACTCCAACWCTCCAGAGCTAATTTTAGCCTTGTGATCACCTCTGAAGTCACTCCTACTGACAGAAACAGAAGCAGTATTTGAGATACTCTCTCCAGTCTTGCTGATTTCACAGGAAAATCTGATGAAGAGGAAAAGCTCAAGAGCATGTCACAGACTAGTGCTCTGTGTTTTATATCCCAACAAAAGTTTGATCTCCAAGTTTCACCAACTGGAGGCTTTCCTACGAGCATGCTTGACAATTCCCAATCCTACTTCAAAGCCCCTATTCTAAGCTTTTAGGCTTCCTATGGCATAATTTGACTTATACCGACAGAAAGAAGATGATATTCTACAGCACTTAAAGAGAAAAGGAAAGAAATAAAGAAGTGCCTTAAGAAAAACATCCTTGCCTTCCCTGCAAGGAAATCAGCAGCTACTTTCAAGGCAGCAAGGAAATTAGCAGCCACTTTTTTTTTTCACTTTTCACCAGTATCACGCAGGCTAAATGCAGATTCCAGGAACACTACCAATATACACTTCTGGAAAACTGAGTTATGCAGCAAGAGGTTGATACTGCAGCAAGTTCTGCAGGATTACAGAATATACAGACTCCCGCACATCTTGCAGACACACAAGCACATCTGAGCACTAGTCAAGGATTAATACCCAACCTCCGAAGCACGGGGTCTCACCCATACGTACCCAAGCCTATGGTGCACTGCAATGTGTTTGACTGACGGCCATTTCTGCCTAACATCTCTGCAGATTTTCTTTATTTCAGTCTCTGCCATTGAAGTATATGCTTCATATTCTAAGTGAATCACTTTTTTCCCTTCAAAATTATTTCTTGTAGTACCTAAAMAAAAACAAGTTATCAACTAAAAGCACCAATATATACACTGAGCAAACATCTCCCACAGTGGTCAAGGTCAGCACCGGGCAAGCGCACTGCGCTCCCCTCATCTCCGCTGTGAAGAGATTCTTCACACTAAAGAAATCCTTAACATTCCAGACAGAATTCAGTCCACAGGCTGTGGAAGTCTGCAGCCAGTAACACCTAAGGCTAGGATATCTTTTGGGGTAACCGATAAGGTGCTGCTGTGCTTGCCCAAACAGCACTGAAGTGCTCAGTACTTGGGAGCCCCATGAGATCAATACCATGTGCAATAAGTAAGAAGATAGAACCATCAGCCTTGACCTTCCCCGGGGCACTGATTTACTTTCAACCAAGATCCGAACAGCAGCAGCTTCTGTACAGGTGAACACGTGGTTTGCATAGCCACAGCTACCCACTTCCCCCTCTGAATGAAGTGGGCGGGAAAGGAAAGGGGGAGTAACTCCAAGCAGTTTGGTGTTCCAGAGCTGCTGTTCCAGGGAGCCAGGACAGCAACACCAGCAGGGAAGCTTCTCATCACTCCATCCCAATGTGAACGGGTAAGAGTTGCCAGTCTTGTTCTAATAAATTTGGAGCAAATTGTCTAAATGTCYTGGGTCCACTCCAGATATGCATTTCAGATCTACAAGTTTGGGGTGTGGAGCAATCTGGGTTGCATTTATTAGCCAATTAACACACCCAGAGATCCAGCTTAGAGACATTAAACTCACCAATGAACAGAGACACTGCTCCACAGTATGGYGAAACAACCAGCTCTGACACTTCATCTACAGAGAGCTTTTCAGACTTGAGCTTGATAAAATCTTTTGGCACTTCTTCGCTTTCATCCATAGCTCACTAGAACAGCTGAAACCAAACAGATTCTGATGTTGTTTTTGGCAATACTAGCATTTGCCAGTTGCTTTTATCCAGTACTGATGCCCCAATTTATTCGGAAAACATACACCATCCACTCAYTCACCACAAGAGATCAGTCTCCATGTCAATTCACTTCCCAGCAGACTTGCTGAGGAAGTATTAACTACAAATTTCCCTTTCATTTTTTAATGTACATGGATTCCTTTCTGGCAGGAAAGTCTATTCCAGTAGGACTAAACTAAAACTAGTCCAATGTCCCAGTTTAACAGTATGGTCAACTAGTAKGGACTATTTTGAGGGCAGATCTGTAAGACTGTCAATTCTTCCATATTTTATTCTAAAATCAAACGCAATTCACAACACAGATTTCTAACAAAAAGAACTCTTGGGTTCTAATTCTAAGGTTTAACAAGCTTTCCAGGACTTTCAATCCTATCAAGTTGCTTCAGTGACAAAAAAGTCACTTCTAGTTTCTCTGCGAAGAAAGCAGTTCAGAAAGTCAGAAGAAAGTCAGTTCRTCTAAGAATGAAGAGCAAAAGCAGCATGCTGAGCAGCAGCAATGGTACAAACCCCAATAAATAAATGCACTGGCATTTCAAAGCATGCAGAGAAATAAAAATATTGTACGGACACCTGTCGCTTTGACAGCTACAAACAAAAAAAATTTTTTTTTTTTTTAAAGCAGAAGGCAATTCTTTCTATTTTTTTTCTCTTAAAAAGCAGCAGTAGGTTTTTCACTATTAACTTACTTAGGCAAGCTGGATGTCTATAGACAGCCAGAAACAATAACTGAAGCATAACAAGGCCTAACAAACAAAATGAAAACAACACTTAACCTCTCCTGCAATTTTCTTCCACTTACTGAGTACGTGTTAATTATTTATTCGTACAGCAGCTTATAGTTTCTGGTCAGCACTATGATTCTCTCCAGCGGGAAGGACAAGATAAACTCTCTCAAAACAGTTGGGGTGAGAAGAGGAAATACACATCACATCCCCGTATCTGAATGGAAAAGAAGGAAGATTAGAGAAAATCCACAAAATATTTCAATGTGGGATGACACTGCATAGGAAAATAAGAAAGAAGTGATACCTACAARAGATTATTTGGACAGATTCAGCCGCCACTGATTGGTGGGATGATGGCAACCTCGTCTCCGGGGTGCAGGACCAGGAGCTGGTCTCCAAGCAGTACGTACTCCTGCCGAACAGCAAACACCACTTGATCCCGGAGGGCAGCAAGCCTGASGGCGATTGGCAAAGGCACAAATAGGTTTCTAAATAGAGTGTTGGCACTTAACCATGAGAYTTCTTTAAAGAACAAACCAGTGCACAGCCCAGGTGAGGTCAATTTTGTGACTTAGTCTGTTTCCAATACTCTTCTAAAACATCACACATAACAAACACCCCCCTCCTACTCTCGGATTGTTTTGCTGTGGGTAAGGAGGAACCAACTCAGTAAAATTATTAGAAGTCAAGAATTTATCACATGCATTTATAAATAACAAGATCCACTTCAAAAGCTTCTAACAAATCAAAAGGTGACTCAAGAAGGTACCAACCATCTGATTTGGGATTGGAAAGAAATTCTACATTTGACATTCAGTCTGACTGGACAGAACAGTCAATTTCTTCCACAAGAGAAGTGATGTGGGATGCAGTTCCTCAGATTTCATGGAGATTCCATGGTCTACCAGTTACTCTTTTTGTGCAGTCTCACAGTTTATGAGGATTTGGGGTCTTTTGTACTTAGAGATCTGAAATCTGCTATTGATGAGGAGAGGTAAAATGAATAAGAGATTTAGTRTTTTCTAGCATATGAATATGTAAAGCAGATACTAAGAATATTTGCTTGGTCCTCAAATCTTTGAAATCTTGATACAACAACTCTGGATGCCACGAGGCAAGAGCCTCTTTCCCAACAAAGTTCAGTCATACAGTTAGTATGAGGACTTCACTAAGACAGAAATGAATGCCAGCACTTTAAAAGATGCGGACATCTAATTATATTATTTCAGAACACAAAGTGCAGCACAAGTTGCACAGAACTGCACTGCTAGAAATGGGAAGGCATGCCAAAAGGGCCTGAGTAAAAATCATCTTATTTCCTACCAGCCAACAGGGAAGGCACAGTAGCACTGATTCAGAGGACAGTCTGAAGGGAGGGACTGTAAGAAAGTAAAGAGAGTCACTGAAGAACTTAGCACAACTATGGAACTAAAGTGTTCATCAGAAGGATGGCTTCTAATTAGTGTCACTTCCAAGTTAATTCACTGGGGAAAAAGGGTGGAACAGAAGAGCATTGTCAAGTGTGTTCAAGCTGCAGTTTGAATATCCATTAGCAATGTGAATAGAAGTCTGTGGTCAATGCCCTTCTATTATGTTGAGCTTTTCCAGAAAAGTTAGGAACAGAAGCATTTCCAAGAAGGCCACTGTGAAGTTACTGCACATGCAAAATGTTCTGCTCCRAGTCCTCATTCATAAAAGGATGAACTTGGAAAACTACAGCAAACGGAACAAAGGTGCTTCTACTACTAACCACAGCAGCCGTGCGGGCTGGAATGCAAGCTGCAAAGTAAAACACACTCATTCCTACTGCCTCTTCTCCCCAACACACCTGGTCTGATTCTGTGTGAAGAAAAGCCCTCTGGTCTAACATTTGTTTAAAACTTCTCACCAGGAAATAGCTACCATTGCTAAACAGTTTTTTGGTTTTTTGTTTTTTTTTTTGGTAGCTATTGAGAGTATATCCAGTGAATAAGGGACTGTGGCAAAAGGAGTGCTTCGGTGCCTAAATCCCAAGTTATAGAAATTTGGGTGCATTCAGAACTTGACCATGAGGACTTTTATTACCTCTKCTCTATTTTTACATTATTATTATTACTATTATTAACAGGCTGTGCAGAGAGGTTGTGGAGTTTCTATCCTTGGAGCCATTCAAAAGCTGACTTGAGATGGTCCTGGGCAACATTCTCTACATGCTCTGCTCAAGTAGGAGGTTGGACCAGGTGATATCCAAGGATTCTTTCAAACCTCCACGGTTCTGTGATTCTGTACATCAAACTCACTATAGACAGCCTTGTGCACATCACCTGAGCCTTAACCTCACATGGAAATTACTCTGCATTATTACAGTACATCAAATACTCTTTCAGGACCTGACTCCCTAAGAAATAAAACACTTTCTTCAGAGAAGGTTGAAAGCGTGCCTGTTTCTTAAGCAAKGACTGAGTAACTGCAAGTCTGTGGCAGAGCCTGAGTACCCTTTTTTACCTGCTTTTCAAAGGCTGCCATAAGCTTAGAAAAAAGGTGAAATAGAAARGGGGAAGTGATCAAAGACACCTGCTCCTAATTAAAAATTTCTTTTTTTGTGGCACTGACTGTGCCAGATCCCTTCTGCAGATCTTTCACTTTCTCCACACATACCAGACATAGGTTAGGTACTCTGCAGTCACCTGTAGAGAGGCTTCCAGAGCAGCTCTCCTGAAYGATTAGCTGCATGTGCTACTTATGTCCAGCTTTGGGGAGCAACTATGGGATCTAGGCTTTTCTAGTGTAGAGCTACAGAATTTGCAATCTGTCAAAAACTGCACAGGACACTCAAGGACAAGGCAAACCCCTGCTTGCACGATACCAAAATGCTCCACGTGCTGGAGCTGCGCGTTTCTTTGCGGCGCCCTCCCCAGATACCTTGGGTGCCGCTTCACGATCTCTTCCCAGAGCTGCAGCGAGGTGAGGCGGCGCGGCACGGAGAGCGTCTCGGAGCGCAGCCCCGCCAGCTCGGCGCTCCTCGCGAAGTAGAGCACCGCGACCTGCGCGGGGGACACGCGCCTCCTCCTGAGACACAGCCATAGCACACGCSGACACACGCGTAACACGCTCGGGTTTCGCACTTTCAGGTGGAAAGGGGAAAACAGAAGGGATTTTTGATAGGAACAAAGCCCCACGCCAGGCCTTGCACGCTGCGGCCCTGCGGCTCCGGCCCGGGCTCCGGGAGCCGCCGCGCCGGGGCCCGCGCACAGCTCCGACCCGACCCGCGCTGCACGGCCGCAACGGCGCCGGCGCCGCGGCACCTACCTGGCAGCGCATGGAGCCGCCG